TGTGCGTGTGAACAGTGGCGTCAGCTCTCCACGCCAAATAGTACATAAGTTTCAGTCGCTTTATATGCCATCATCACTTGTGGTCCACCGCCACGCCATATAGTATGTCAGTTTCAGTCACCTTATATGCCATCACCGCGTGGTCTATTACAAATCAGCGTGCATCAAGTGGCGTTGGCTTCATGTTTCTCTCCCTGCATGTTATCGTTCCAGATAAAAGACATGGAGAGGGCAGATGCCACTGCTCACGCGAGGCACAGAGTAAGTACATACAGAGGTCTCACTTCAGGTTAACGTAAGGGATTTTTTTGAAAAATGCGCCATGTTCTTAGGCAGTCCAGTAAAGAGAAGCCGCCTTTTACGTATACTGTGCATGTGCAGGCACTGGCTAAGAACATGGCGGCCAAAAAACCACCTTCCTTACGGTTTTCTCACTGAGGTAAGCCTCTGTATGTTACTCTGTGCACGAAGCTTCACTTTTTAACTGCCAAATGACTGAGTGTTATCATTCTAGAATGATAAAGTAAAATAAATTGAATTCACTGGAAAATTGCTCGGAGCAAATTGCAATCGAAACACACAAGTTGCAACTGTCATTTTCTCAAGTTCCTATCACACCTGTGTTGAGTTAAGACACTGAATAAAAAAATCAAAATGACTAATATCTATGTAAAATTCCTATTAAATGCCATGGTCTCTAATATTATTTTTGCAACATTTCGGGCAGTTACAATTACTAAAATAATTGCTAAAATAATTGTAGGCATTATTGTATTTATTAATTGTTAGCCTAAAACGTTGCAAAAGTAACATTAGAAAACCTTTCGGAGGTCATGCATGTAGGGGGGGGGGGTCAGGGGAAGAAAACTTGAAGTAGAAAGGGGGCCACTGAAAATTTTCCTGCATCTGCTGGGGGGTCATGACAAAATTATCAATGAAAGCATGCAAAACCACCAGGCCCCCCCTCCTGATAAAAAATGAACGGTCCCTTATTATGTGTTGTTCTAATAAAAACTATTGCTTGTGATATGCATATTAAATTTTTGAAATTACATTTCATTCTTTGCGAAAATGTGTACCAGGAATAATGAAATCTTTCAGATAAGCTAACAATATCTTTGTAACTTATATAACCAAGTGTTCTATCTATTTTTGTTCCGATTAAACAAATGATGGGCAAAATATTAGATTAGATTTTTGCCAAAAAATGAGCTTGCCTGTTTTCAAAGCATAAAAAGCAATAAAATAAAGCAAAAGCACTTATTTTAAATTTAAAACCTTTGGAATGCATAGCTTAATGTTTTCCACTAAATATTACAAAGTTTTCGTTCATTAAAATGTTGTTTTATCAGCTTTAAAACCAGATAAATTCACGAAACACTCCTAATATATGTCGCCATACTGATTTTCTTCGCGCATGCTCAGACAAATTGCCCACCTGTTGTCCCAAGGAAAAAAAATGTGAAATTTCTCGCTCAAAAGCAAATTGGAAAAAGTCACGTGATCGATATCCTTACTAGTGAAGATATGGAAAATATATCACTGTGTATTTTCAGTATCTCACTCTCTACTATATAGTGAAAGCGTTTGTTTTATGCATGCAAATTAACAATGTTTTCAAACAAACTAGAGTAAAACTGGGACCGCGGTTGTTCGAAATTCATTTAATTAAGTCGCTAACCACCGTTTAACTCACTATCCGCCGGATAAAATTTAAACGCTTCAGAAATCGCGTTCCACAAAGCCGGTTTATATAGTGGTATCCGCCGGTTAAATTTGGGCTGTCCGGTGGATAAAGGTAGACGGTCTCGTGAGACCGTTTAAGGTGGCTCGCTACAGTTTATAGAAATGTTGAAAATGCGTAAACTAGATCACCTTTTTGAAGAGATGATGCTCTTTACAAATCGAAATTTGTATATTATATATACAGCGACAATCAAACTGTCGAAAATTGGTCAGAAAAGTGACGTCACCACTGTTGCTATGGCAACAATGACGATTCAAGATGGCCGATATTTTGGCTTTGAACGCATAATTTTACTTTAAAAAAGGTCGGTTGCCCCCATTTTTTAAATCAGAAAACATTTTCTGATAGTGCAATGCACTATCTGACCAATTTTAAAAAAATTCTGTAATGCAAAAAAAAAATATTTCGAAAAACCATGTTTATAAATTTTTTAAAAATTTTGGCGCTACAGAATTTTTTTAAAATTGGTCAGATAGTGTATTGTACTATAAGAAAATGTTTTCTGAAATAAAAAATGGGGGTAACCGACCTTTTTTTGAAGTAAAATGCGTTCAAAGCCAAAATATCGGCCATCTTGAATCGTCATTGTTGCCATGGCAACAGTGGAGACGTCACGTTTCTGACCAATTTTCGACTGTTTGATTGTCGCTGTATTTATAATATACAAATTTCGATTTGTAAAGAGCATCATCTCTTCAAAAAGGTGATCTAGTTTACGCATTTTCAACATTTCTATAAACTGTAGTGAGCCACATTAAATCGCTATCTGGCGGATAAAATCGACGTTTGGAGACTTTAAATAATGCCGTTGCTTTGCTATATATTACGTACTACTGTGCACTTACTGTAATTTTAGATGTCACAAAATATATTTTTATATAAACATCATAATACTGTTTGATTATATATAGCCTACTTGGGTGATTAATTGCCTGTAGTATTACTGCCCTATTTAGTTTTAGCTTATCTTTATGTTTGCATGCATGGCGATAAAATTTTTTGATAAATAGTTTTGTTTGTGGAAACACCACGTAAATAAATGCAGTAATAAATTTACGCGGTGTTTCCACAAACAAAACTATTATTTATCTTATTTAGTTGACGCAACATCATTTAACCAGCGAAAGTGCGCGCTGTTTCGTACTCCGACTTTGATCGTTATTTACTGGTTCTTAATTATAACTAAAAAAATTGGCCAAATCAACCAAAATATTATTGGTGAATATCCGTACCATTTGTATTATAGTTAAAACAACCTATGTTTATTTGGTTGAAATATGCTCAATTTGACATTTTAATTTTAGTCATTTTAACTTTTGAATATAGGTTGGAATTACTTTTTAATTGGTCAAAATAACCACAAATCTTTAGTTCAATCAACCAATAATTAATAGGTTAAAATGACATATTACAGATTTATAGGTTAAAGTAACCATTCGCGATGGTTTGCTTTAACCTATTTAATTTTAGTTGTTTTAACCTATTAAAACAACCTATTTCTTATTGGTATAAATCAACCCATTTTTAATGGTTTGTTTTAATTTAGTTTCGGTTCTTTTAACCTATTGAAATAACCTAATTATTTATCGGGTTGTCTTAGACCAAACCAAATAACCTATTTTTTGGGTTATTTTAACCTATCAGTTTTTACAGTGTATCGATCTGGGGGATAAAATCGACGTTTGAAGACATAACAATGAGTATTCCGGATGAAAGCATGTGGGATAGTAATAGAATGCAAAAATCCTGTTGAGGAATTACTTTTTAAATTCAATGAACATGAGCACACCGAGGTCACTTGCACACTTGCCGTTGCTTTGCTATATATTTTACGCAGACCAGTGCCTGTGCTTATAGACGTTAAGTACTCTTGCTTTTATCTCCTTGTAGTTTTATCTCCTTGTATTCCCACAAAAATGACTTAGGAAAGCCAAACAAGTATACTTAACCATGCAATAGATAAGATTTTGCCGCGTTGTCTGTTCAGTTGTAGATACACAGTATGACTTCATATTGTGGGAAGAACGAAAAAGTCGCTCACGAGCTCCGAGACGAGCGGGTCACTTTTTTTCTTCTTAACACATTATGATGTCATTCTGTCTATCTATAACTGAACAGACAACGGCAAAATCTTATCTATTTTATTTGTTTTAAATAATAAAAAGAAAACCCCAGAATTATACAAGTAAATAGCTTATTTTTTATCCACACAAACATTTGGAAATTTGAAAAAGTCGAAATTTTACAAATATCACGCGTACATGATCTATACAAATAAGGGGATGTTATTGGCTACCTTAAGTCACGTGGTGAGTTGTGATTGGCTGCACAGAACAAAGAGTTTTGTGGGACGCAATTCCGTGCGTCTGTCCTCTAATATTTAGATCATGGCTCTCGACCAATGATATACAAATAAATAGACAACAAGACGCCGAAATTTTGTTCGCGCGCCTAATCGCTTTGATCGGATCACTCGGGATCAGTCATCAAAACAAAGGATAAAATGTTCCTAGATGTTTTCGGAATAAAGTACAAGGTTAAGGAACAAATATGCAAACAGTATAAAAGTGTAAAACTAAAAACGACAACGCAACGGTCACATGACCGAACTTCGGTTTTTCACATAAAGCAGCCAAAACTGCATGGCTTTGAAATATTAATTAGTCAGTAAATGAGAAACCCTGTCAGTACTATGTGAAAATCAGAAGTTTGATATGGTATATGGACGAGGAAATGGTAATGGACGAGGAAACTCCATGCAAATATAAACAACAACAAACTTTATTGCAAAAACGTAGTGGAATTACAAGTTAAAGGAGCAGTATCACGTTGTGCGCATCCCTGCTGCGCATCGCAAACTTGAAATTCTACACTTGTATTTTTTCAAGTTTGTTAATCCAAGATGGCGGCCGCACCTGGTGCGACGCACGGGGGAAAGCGAAGGAATTCAGGCAGAAAGAGAAAATACGAACGTTCCGACAGCGCACAATTAGTTTGGAATCGTCAACATAAACAAATTTATTTGTCGTTGACGATTTTTAAATCGTGGAAAGACGCGAAAAATGAGGCTGGATACGGTTCTAGTACTGACAGTGAATTTGCTGCTCATTTGTTGTCATTAGAATACCGCAGAAGGTGTGTAGAGTTTCATTATTTTTTATTTTGCTTCAGCAGTTTTGGACCTTTTATAGAGAATATGATTCGCATACCCTTTAGGTCAGATGTTGATGTTTCGAGGCAACGAAAAGATAGAATGCAAGCAGAGAACGCGAACGCAAATATGGTGTCAAATATGCAAGGCAAGCACAGTAAAAATTTACATAAATATTTTATAGTATTCAACGTGTGATGCCATGGGGTCCAAAATAAATTAATAAATCGCGATTGATTTATTTAGGCGACGTGGAAACCTCTACCCCATGTAAGCAAGATAATCGTGTGCCTCTGATTTTGCCCTCAGTATCTCCAGTTGTTGACAAAGGACAAAATATCTCTGACTCTATGGAAGTAGATCAACATGAGGGAATGAGTGGCAATTTGGAGTGTGATATATCACCCCACAAAAGGTATATATACATATATATGTATTATATATTATGTAATATTCTATTGTTTGTTTATCAAGGATTAAGCTTTGAAAGTATATAATTATACTCAATAATTAATTATTTTCTATTCATCCAATTCTAGTATAATTGATCAAACTAATACATCCACAAAAATGAATGCATCCTTATTCACTGATGATGAAGGTGAAAGCACTGATACTGCAGACAGCTCTGGTTTAAGGCTTTTATATAACAATCAATTTATTTGCACATGTGGGGGCAACTGAAATACAGTTACTGATACATGACACATGCTTTTAATGTCCCTTTTGTTTGTAGTCGACAACATGATCTTTCACAGTCAGCCATTGGAGACCTGAATGCTGATAGAGAACTGGGAGAATATGATTCAGAAGATAGTGGGTAAGATAAATATAGAAATGTCTTAGTTAAGCTATTTCATTAACAGTAATTTTATTTTAGTAAGTGTAATCAGTTTGTTGTGTTAGAAACAACACTGTCTGTTTGTGTACTGCACATTCTCATACTGTGCATGGTACCTGATCTAGCTTAGGTGTTCTAGTCTATTTACACTTTTTTTGTATTGTCATATAATTATATAGTTCAACTGACCCAACAATGGATCTGGATGACAATTCAGATGATGGAATATCTGGAGAGGACATTTAGTGAGTTTTGGTATTTCTTGTTCATATACAGTGGTCTGAATTTTAAATATGGGTATTGTATGCTACCATAGGCCGGTGGTGGTGGCTTATTTGTTTGCCCTTTTTACTCTACGTATTTACTCTACAAATGTGTTTTACATATACAGTATGCCATTCATGTCAAATGACCAAACCATAGGTTTTATAAAATCTATTAATTACCATTAAAATCTATAAATATGGCCATTGAAATCTTCTTAACACCGGACAATATGTTTGCCAACACATGTATAGTGTATGACGTATAATTCATTCCAATCCATTAAGCTGCAATGATGCACCTTAATGTGCCTATAATGCAACCTTTTTACTATATGCATAGAGTATTGTTTGAAATACTGGGTAAATTGATATATCTGTTACTTATTTTGCAAACAGTTCCATTGAGTCTGATGTTGATGATGAACAGAAAGATCTGCCAATGACAACAACAACAACAACAACAACAACAACAACAACACAACAACAACAACAACAACAACAAACCCACCACAAGTCCCAGAGGTTGCCAGTACCAGCAGCATAACATATGGGCCTCATCGTAAACTGAGTAGGGGTGAGGAAATAAACAAATTCCCACACGAATTTGAGATGGTCAAGGAAAGCAAATTTGTCTGCTCCCTTGTGTTATTACTCCAGGTATTCCAAGCTCGCTGTCAGACACCTGGTTGTGTGAATGCACCAACAGTCAGCTATCGTTTTGTTTGTGCTTCGTTATTCATTGATTCTGTTTGCTCATCTGGTCACAAACATAGATTTTGCTCTTCGCATGAACTTGGGGAAGGAGTCTATGTGAACAGCCTACAAGCAGCTGTCTCTATCTTGCTGTCAGGCAATAGTTTTGCCAAAATTGAGCGAATGGCAAAGTTTTATGATTTGGCACTTCTTTCAAAGTCAACATTTTATCGCTATCAGCGTTTATATCTGATTCCCGAAATAAATGAGTGGTGGGCATGGACAAGGCAAGAACTTCTGAAGGAATTTGTTGGGCAAGATAATGTCATTGGTGGTGATGGACAGTGTGACTCACCAGGTTTTAATGCCAAAAATCTATGCTATTTTATGGTTGAAGCCAATAGCAACTACATCATCGATATTGAAATATTAGATAAGAGGCATGTTGGTTTAGCATCAACCAACATGGAAAGGGAAGCTGTTAAGCGTGGGTTGGAGAGGCTGACCCAAGACATAAAAGTGGTGGAATTTGTGACAGATGCATCAACTTCTGTTAAAGCACTACTTGGTATGTACAACACACATATAACTTTAACCCAATGAGTCACATTGCGCTCTCCTTTATTATTTTTACTCTCCCTAATGCCAGACGACTTTACTTGTCAAGGGGATAGCGCTAGCGCTTAATAGTAATCATTCTGTTGGAGTGCAACCTAATATTATTCATCTCAATTTTCAGAAAACAACTTTCCTACAATTGTGCACAGTCTAGATGTCTGGCATAAGTCCAAAAGTATCAAAAAGTGTAGTCTAGCAAAGGTATGAAATGTTTTGCTCTATTTATTTGTGCTGTGTATGCTGTGAACTCTTCAATTATGAATTTTTGAGAGTTGTACTGGCAATATAATTGTACAAAATTTTCATTATAATACTCATTATAACTTGTCTTCAATGTCTTGTACTTTAAATTTTCTCAATTTTGAATAATATTATGGTTGTTGTTTCTATATTTTAACCCATCAACCTGCAAGACTCTTCCCTTGACGAGTAAAATTGCCTGGTGTTATACAGACTAAAAGGATAAAGTTGAGCGGCAATACACCCAAATGTACCTGACTATCATTTTTTACTCTGTATAACACCAGATGATTTTAATTGTTAAGGGGAGTCTTACAGCTAAATGCATACATGTGTTAATATATTTTATTTTTAAAAGAGATTTGAAATGAATATGTAAGCTGAATATTTCAACATGACTGTTTTCTTGTTTCAGTTGGGCAAGACAAAACCCATGAGTAAAATAAAAGACTGGTCATCGCATATTGTTAAGCATTTCTGGTACTGTAGCAGTATGTGCAGGAAGGATGAAACCACTTCTGACTTAGAAGCTGGCTTTAAAAGTTATGAAGGTATTACTTTGTTTCTCAAATTTTATTTATACCATAGTATAAATAGTCAAATAATTTCCTGGAATAGACCATCTACAGTATGCATAAACAACCCAAGGTAAGGATGTTTTTGCATCAATCAAGAGCGGTGTTTTCATATCATGACCATCCCATGTTGGTTGCAAATGATGTTAGGGTCGGGCCATTAGAAAGTGATGAGGGAGGTGGGACATTTCCAACCTGTACTATTATATTTTCAAAATTTTTTGCTTGTGTCAATATTTTTTTTTAAATCATCTGTTGCTCTAATTTTTTTTTCCAAAAAGTGTGAGGGGGCGGGGTGGGTGGGGGTTTGGTTAACATTTTTTCAGGACACTAAAAAAGGGTCAAAAAAATTTCCCAGACTAACATCGATGAAGTTAGGGTTCAAAACAAATTTTCCCTCAAATTCTTGTTAAAACATGCTTAAAACCTTTTTTGCACCAATGTCTTCAATATTTAGGTTTAGAAACTTTTGTTCTCACACCATTACTTATGTCAATTTTTCCTATTGAAATGTCTCTGCATGAATTTTTTTTAAACTTTTTTCGTGCTCAAATTTTTTTTCTGTTTCCCCTGCTCGATTCTTATTTTTGCTTTTGCCCCCCCCCCCATCACTTTTCGAATGGTCCACCCCTTAATACATGCTTTAATTACGTCTTGCCAACAATGCTGAGTTGTACAGTAGAATTTCTTAATAAGCGGTGTAATTATAGTTCTTGGTGTGTTATTTAGGATAAGTGGATTTCATTATTATACCATGTGTGCAATGTGCACAAATGGCTAGAAGGAGAATGTGATCACGAGGAGGACGATCATGATGAAACTCTTCCGTGCTTTGACCGTCGTGACAAAGACTTCATTGAACTTCAGAAAGTCATTCTCAACCCAGAATTGCTTGCAAGCTTCCAGTATTATACACGATTCAGGTAAATAGTTGTTATACATACAATTAAGATTTTGGGTATGTTCACAAACACAGTAGCCTCATAAAATGGAAGGCAGAATGCTCCACACAGGCATTTTTTATTGTGATTAAATTTCTGATATAATTGTATTCATTGATCAGAATAAAACCCAACTGACAAGGCAGCCATAACCTTTTAGCTGGTAAATACTGTATAATGCAATTATGTTCTCTATTTCTAGGCACACTGGTAGCATTGAATGTGCCAACAGTCTAAGCTTGGTATACACACCAAAGCGAATGCCATTCAGGTTGGTGTATCCATAGTTGTTGTTGCTGTATGTCATTTTGTGTTTTGGGTATTCCTAGCACAATATTTCTACATTACTGAATACTGGAAATGAGAGTCCTTAAATCTAAACTTTAGATACAACGCATATAAAGCCAGGAAACAGTTGACAGCAATTGACTGGAATTATCATGTTAATCTTCCCCAAGCAAAGACCAAGTCAGGGGAAGAGCGAATAACAAGAAAGTACAACCCGAGAACCAGGCAATGGGATGTCAAGATTGTAAAGGTTGAAAAGGGTTATGAGTATGTTCCAGTACTCATATCCAGAATGTTAAACAGAAGAATATGTGATGCAGACGGTGTGACAAGACACATTTCTTTAAATGATAGCAACCCTGTCCTTATCTCCCCAACCATAGCCCACATTCCTCCTCCTGCAACAAAGGAAATTGTCCAAAGAAAGAGCAGATTTGCAAGTGACGACAAATCATCAAAATGAAACTACAACAACATAATTAGCCAGTGAACCATATATATTACCCAAATGTTTTTACTATATTTACATTTAACTTACAAGACCCTGCATATAAGAATTTGTATTTTTCAAGTTAGCCTGAACAGGTTATTATATAAATGGTGCTTATCATGAAATAAGGGTAAAGTTCTTATTTTATAAAGAAAAAGCACCTCAATTTTGGTTGGTGTAGGTACAGTTATTTTTTGTTGGTGTGTTCAAACAGACCCTGCTTATTGTTATGACATATCCAGGACTCTGACTCATTTTCATTACTGTATGAAGAGTTTATTTTCTTTGATTTATAAATTTTTACTCTTATGAGCTAGTGATAAAAATAAAATAAGCATCTGTTTGAAACTTTAGCCTAAACAGGTTCTTATATAAAGAGGGTCGAAATAAGCAAATTTAACATAACAGGTTCTTAAAATCTAGGATGAACTCTCATATGTGGGTTCTTGCTGTATTAAAAAATTAATGGTCTCTATATCCCATGTAAACACCAGTAACTGATGGGTACTGTTCTCTAATTTTTAAAACCACACAGGATGGACAAATTCGTCTATTCCCTTTGCCTACAAAGCCATGGCGTGCTAGAATAAACTGTCTATAACCAGCTTTGCGAAATGCTCTTGTGCTGTTGTCCTCTCTATCGTTACGGATGTCACTCCTATTGCGGATACAAAGCTCCAGCACATCTGGATCAAGGCATAATTTTGCAAAACGAGAAGTTAAGGTTATGCATTTCTTTTGCCTACAACATTTATTTTCAACCTCTTGTGGCATTGGTCTGCATTTGCCACATGTGCACCAATCTGGCACTGATTCAAGTGTGGGTTCGGGTGTTGGATTTGGGTCTTGTGATTGAGAAGGGCTCTGACTCTGAGAAGGGTCTATAGCAGAGTTCAATGGATTGTCATTGGATGATTCACCAAATGCACCTAACCTTTCTGCATCCTGATCAACTTCATCGAGGTCATCCTCCATTATCAGTAGTGTGTCGATGTAGTCCATACTACCAATACCTCTGCGTAAACTACAAATAGCTAGCTTTTTCACCATATTTGCATCTAGTGTAGATATCAATTTCTAAAATAAATACAGTAGAACAAGATTGTTATCAATGCAAAACCCTGCCAAGACATTGTATACTGTATAGGTTATGCTATTATATGTGTAATAATAATATGAAATCATCAATTGTTATTTTTATATAATTAAATATTATTTTAAGGTGAAGTACATACCTTCACATTTTCGTGTTCTTTGTCCCTTTGCATGTCCTCCGACTCTGTAGTCGCGTGAGTAAGGCGAAAACCTTGTCTTGGATTTCCTGCTCTTTTGCGTTTTTGTCTTTCATCGGCCGTTCCCTATACCAAAATCCGACAAATTATTTATTATAATTCCTGGAATATAAACAAAGTTGTGAACATATAAAAGTTTAGATTGCTTTACCTTAGGGGCGACGTCCATATTCAAGTTGCCACGCAAAACGTCAAATTGACGTTTTGCGTGGGTGGGTGGGTTAAAGCTGAGTGCTGTGACATTTTTACCGTGGCAATATGAATATTTTCCAAAACTACAACGCTATATGTAGAATATATATTAAAAATAACCGTCAATATTTATTAAAATAGTATCAATACGCGATGGAAAAGTTAATATATTTTCACTATTTTATCAATATTGCATATTAAAAAAGAACTTACTTGGTAGAATTTTTGTCTTTCTTGTTTCCTACATATTTATATACGTTTATAATATTAACCCAGAGGATATATTAAAAGGTATATATAAAACTTTGATAGTTGGAGCGTTCAAACCCAATCTAAGTTTTGAAATATTCATTACGTCACACTTGACGTTTTCAAGGGTGGGTGGGTGTGTTGTCATAAAAACGTCAATTTGACGTTTTGCGTGGCAACTTGAATATGGACGTCGCCCCTTATTTTGGCAAGGTTTTGCACGCGTGCCACAATGACATTCTGCCGAACACACTACATTTCTACCTTTACACGGACAACCTCGGGTTCCATTAGGCTTTCTTTTAGTGCTGCAAGAACTCTTACAATCACAACGATTTCCCTATGTAAACGGATATATCACTGTTCAATTAGATTCGTATTGCTTTACAAAAAAATATGTAAAATATGCATATTTTGACTTACCTCAGAATCATTATACAGCTTCGAAACAATGGGGGATTATGTCGCCCGAGCAATTTCCGACAGTTTCCGAACCCGTTATTGTTATGCGCAGCAGGGGTGCGCACAATGTGACACTGCTCCTTTAAGCGGTCTTTAATCAACTGATTAAATTTACCTTTAATAACCTATAAGAAACACATTTTTGTATGATTAAAGTTGTCTTTAATCAACAATTCTACCAATATTAAAGGCGACTAAATACATCTTTAACCGCATTTTATCGGTCTTTAATCGGCCGAATTAAATGCACACTTAGTATCCTTCATTGAACTTTAATCTCTGGGTATTAATGTGGTCGTTAATGCACTTAATGCAACGAACTAAAGGTGTTAAAACGCACCTTTAATCTCTTTAATAAAACGCATTAAGTGCGACTAAACACGAATAAAATACACCATTAATCCTACTTTAATAGCATATTAAAGGTGCGCTTTTCGTCCTGTGTTGACGACGGTTGTTTCATCCATTATTTGCCAGGTTAAAGCAATAAAGACGTTGTTTGCGGTGTCACTTTTATACGACTACCATAATGGTTTGTATAGCGTGACCAACAGAATTGATATGAAATATTGAATTCAGTGCAGTTCCTTAACATTTCGCTTCTGGTAAAATTCTTGTGATTGTATTCTTTTTATCGCCAGTCATTGTTTTAAATCAGAAGTGAACCATTTTTGTCACAAAGTAACTTAATAGTGGGAATCATGTACAATGACATTTTGTTGTTTATATTAATACAATGTTATGAATAATTGACTATGTAGTAATGATACATGCTTCCAGAAGGCGGATACGAGATAGCGGATAGCGGATATCAGATAATACTTTCCATTAAGTCTACTGAGCGGTTTCAGTTGATAATTTTATGATGGATAAAACCGACAATGTATCTACGGCTACGCGTAATATATTAGTAAACTTATAAATTGCATGTACACTTCTCAACAAAGTTTAAGACGAGGTCAACCACAGGCGGCCCAATCTCAGAATGAATGTTGCGGGTTTTTAACGGTTTTTATAAACAAATTTATAGTCAACCAAAACTATTTTAAAAACATTCTTAAATTAGTCAAATAAATACATTTTAACAATAAAATATAGTTGACATAATAGCATAATACCTTTACATTCTTTTAATTAATCCATGAGCTCATTTAGAGCGGCTGATGTAACATTTTCTGTGGCCTACATTGTGTGTGCTCATCTATATATAATATAACAGTAAAAGGCTAATCACTGGCGGCACGACCGCATCGCCTTCAAAGTCAAATATCTCCGCTCAAGCTTCTCGTACGCCAAAACAAATTCGATTACATCTTTTCACAAAGATTTCTCTTTCTAAATAATGTGGTTTGATCATAGTTTGGGCAAATTTAGCGACGAACGGAGCCAAAATCTCCTCAATTTCGGATACTGTTCAAAATACTTAGGGCTGCTCGGGCACGATCGTGGACGTGACGTAATCAATACATACTGACAATACCGCCTTACCCGGGGTGGGACAGCATATCAAATCCGACGATAGTTTGTCGCTTGATGCTGTCCCACCCCACGTAAGGTGGTAAGGCGTTATTGTCAGTATCTATTGATTACGTCACGTCCACGATCGTGCCCGAGCAGCCCTAAGTATTTTGAACAGTATCCGAAATTGAGGAGATTTTGGCTCCGTTCGTCGCTAAATTTGCCCAAGCTATGATCAAACCATATTATTTAGAAAGAGAAATCTTTGTGAAAAGATGTAATCGAATTTGTTTTGCCGTACGACAAATTTGAGCGGAGATATTTGACTTTGAAGGCGATGCGGTCGTGCCGCCAGTAATTAGCCTTTTAGGGTCCTTTTACTGTAAGTTATATTATATATAATGAGCACACACAATGTAGGCCACAGAAAATGTTACA